AGTTGCGAGTAGACAGAGTATGGCATGAGGTTAACACTCGCTCCTAGATCAAGCAAAGCATGGCTAAACTCATGTGTCCCAATCTGACAGGAAATTGTGGGACAACCAGGATCCTTGTATTTGGGTGGTGTTTTCTGGTCGATCACCGCGCTTACCTGTTCAGTCAAGAATGTTGTCTTCTTGACATGGTGCTTCCTTTTGATAGTGCACAGATCCTTGATAACCTTAGCATAAACAGGCACTTGCTTGATAACATAAAGCAACGGAAGATTAATTTTCACTTGAGTCAGGTGCTCTAGGATCTCACTTTGGTGTTCCGGTACTTTCCCAGTTGGACGCAGAGCTTGGGGAAAAGGCACCTTTACCGGAACATTTGTTAGCTCATCTTTCTCAGGGACAACTTCCTTACTACTTGAAGTGGTGGCACTTGTTGATGGTTCTTCCATAATCTTACCACTACGAGTACTGATGGCATTCACCTCCTTAACATTTTGGTTATCAGGCAATGCGGTTTGTGCCATATGTTGACCCTTTGGGTTTAACTGAGCTTGTGAAGGGAACTTGCCGCGTTCTTTAATAGCCAAAGCTCCAGTCAGCTTCGTGATTTGACTCTTCATTTCTTTACTTTCCTCCACCATTTGCGTGAACAGTGACTCAAACTTCTGATTCGTCTTACTCTGCACCTCCATGAAAGATTGCAAGGTGTTCTCAAGAGAACTCCTTGGCTGATGTGAATTGTATTGAGGTGCAGAATACGCCTTTGGTGGTTGCGGCTGTTGCTCAGTCCTCATTGTCCTCCAGATGGTTGCGCTTGGTTGGAATCTCTCCAACTAAAGTTTAGATGGTTCCTCCAGCCAGGATTGTATGTGTTAGAGAAGGGTTTGTTGTATGTCCCTAAGGCATTACATTGCTTCTCGTAAACCCCTCTCATTTCACCATAAGCAGGACAATCCTTAGCTAGATGTTCCACCCCACCACAGACAAAGCATGGCTCATGTGTCTCTGCCCTTGCGACTGTGTAGATTCCTCTACCTTCTTTGCCATTGAGGGCCTCGAATTCTTGGTTTTGCTTTTGTTCCTATATTTTTTATAGTCCAATTAGTATCCTCTATGTTTTTAGATTATGACAGAATTATCTCCTCAGTTTTTCAAAAGAGTTAAAAAAAAAAATTTAACTGGTCAGAATTTTGAAATGCTAAAAATAATAATCTCAATAATTACCTTTAAAATAATATTTTAGGCATAAATTTTTGAAAATTTTTAAAACAGCTTTAAAAAAAACTTTTAAAACTAAAGAAAATCATGTTAAAACTAAATAAAATCAAGAACAAAATTAATGTGTTTAGAGGACCGCAAAGTTTAATCCAATGTTGAACGATTTCGGTCTAATAAGTTCAAATTTGACCAGTCATGTTTGAAGAGTGAGGGCGAAAGATCCAGTGTGAAGTTCGACTAATGTGTCTAACTTATAAAGTTTAGGATTTTTAAAAATTATTTTATCTAAATTTTTACATTTTTTTCCTCTATTTTAATTTCTTAGTTTATTAGAATTTAAGATAATGTTTTAAATATTGGTCATTAAGGTTCAAATAAAAAATATTGATCATTCAGAGCATTCATGCCAATTTTAACAATTCGACCCCTTAAAAAGTTATATTTTGATTCTTTTTTAAAAAATTAGGGGATAATTTTGTCACATTATAGAAATACGAGGTATACTTTTGAGTTATCAAAAGTACGAGAGCAAATCTAAGATTAGCTGCACTAAGTTCTTAAGGCCCATTTAGTTAACTTATTTAAAATTCTAATTCTAATTATGCTAGAGTACCTTTTTCTTACAAAATATTTGAATAAAAAAAGTTCATACTAATACATTCTTATAAATTTAAATTTAGAATTAAAATTACTGATGCGTGAATCACACGGCCACTAAAATTTCTTTTCTTCTAAATTGGCGGCAAAATGGTAAGAGAGAAAAGTCTGATAGGTTGAGTATTAAAAGGGGAATAGCCATATATTTTAAATTAAATAAATATGGGTCCCACATTAAACTTTTTTTGAACGGGTCCCACTTTAAACTAGCTGTATTTTGTTTTGTCCTTTTTTACACGGTGGATTGCGAACCATCCAGAACTATTGTGCTCCAGAACCTAATAGCGACACTCATTTTATATTTTTATACGAATGATGAAATCATACAACTCCCTCTCTTCTATAAAAATATTTTGACAGTATTCCGTATTTTTTAAAATATTAAATGGTATCCGACAAGGGATTAAAACGGTACATATATTTTTTAAAAATATATATATATTTTTTAAGAATATATATATTTTTTCTTAAAACATATACAATAAGAGAAAACACTTATAATTTATTTAAATATTTATATACATATTTTAAAAAATATATACATATTTTAAAAAAAATACACATATTTTAAAAAAAATATGCATATATCATTCTAATACAGTGCCGAATTGGAAACAATTCTAATATTAAATAGGTATCTTCAATTTTAAAAAGCATGTTGGGGTATTCTAAAGTCCTTTTTAAAATATAAAATGTATGTCCCTTAATTAATTAGGAATTAAAAATTTTAAAATTTTACAAAACTTAATTTTGAAATTCATAGTTTAATAAGACAAAATTTTAATTTTTTTAACTTTTAAATATTTTTAATTTTAAAATATTCTCTAATTAATTCAGTGACAAAGTAGAAAGACACTTTATGCCCCCTTTCTGAATAAAAATAAAATAAAATAAAATAAAATCTCAGTGTCAAGATATTTTCAAAACCTGCAAGATACGTGTCTATATATAAGAGAGCACATAGTCTTTCACTGTTCCACCGTTTTTCAACCAAAACGGTGCCGCTGTGCCGCTGTGGTTGAAATTTCTCAACCAAAACACTGCCCTTCTTTTACCACTCTTATTATTTTTAATTCATTGGTCTTCTTGTTCATATTTTTTGCCCTTCTTTTTTCCCTTTTTTACCTTTTAGTCCTTTCTCTCTCTTTTTCTCTTATTTTTTTTGTTGTCTTTGTCCTAAAACTTATTTATTTCTTCATATTAGTCCTTTTATGATCCTTTTTATTTTTTCCAAAAAATTGTAGGGTTGTTCTTTTGGAGTGTAATTTGAGTGTAGTTTTTGAGTTGAATTTGAGTTATAACTTGAATTGAAGTTGTAACTTGAATAAAGTTGAGTAAAGTTGAATAAAGTTGAAACTTAAAAGAACGTGAACTTAAATAAAGTTAGAACTCGAGTTGTTTTTTTTTTAAGTTTTTTTGACAAAAGAACATGTCATTTCTTTTATGTTTTGGTCAAAAATGTGTGAACAGTAGGAATACACGCACAGTTTTTTTCTTTTTCTTTTTCCTTTTCTTTTTTTTTTTGCTCTCCATGGTTTATTTTTTCCCTTTTCATCTCCTCCTTTTCCTTTTGTTATTTTCCCCAAAATTTTATATTTTCCTACGTAGATATTTCTTTTTGGCAGTACCCTAAAACTTATTTATTCTTTCATGTTAGTCCTTTTTTGACCTTTTTCTAATTTTGTCTTGAAATTTTATTTTCCTTTCTTATGGTTCTTTTTATCTTAAAACTTATTTATCTCTTCATTTTGCTCCCTTTTTGACTCTTTTTTTTTATTTTTTTTGTTATTTCTTCATTTTTAGCCTTTTTTATTTTTTATTTTTTATTTTTGCTTGTTCCCCTAAAACTTTATTTTTTTTAGTTTTAGTTTCTTTTTGGGATTTTGTAGTCATATGTTTTATACTTTTAATAGTAACATGGTAATTAAAACTTAATACTCGATTACTCCCGACGTGTGTAGCACGTGTTCATTGTCTCTTCATTTTGATCCTTTTTTGACTCTTTTTTTTTTTTTTCTTGTCATTTCTTCGTTTTAGTCCTTTCTATCTTTTTTTTTCCCCTGTTTGCTACTTCCCCTAAAACTTTATTTATTTTTTAAAATTTTAGTTTCTTTTTGACATTTTGTATTCATTTATTCTATACGTTTAATAGTAACGCGATAATTAAAACTTATACACAATTATTCCCTATGTCGTAGTACGTGTTCTTCGACTAGTATAATTAAAAAGTGAACATACTTTTGAGATGTTTCGATATAATAAATGGAACAAAATTGATTTTATACCTTTATATAAGTAACTCTACTTCAAGAATATAACTGCCCACTACGCACACGATTCAGATGTTATTTTCTTAATTTTATTTAACAATTAATTGACAAAAGTCTTAATTTGATGACATCAAAATAGATCAGGGTCCGTTTTGAGGTCTCTTAAACGTCCGGGATCAAAGTGGGATTTATTGAAAAATTCGGGGACTAGAGTATTACCCTTTAATATAATGTCAAATACAAATAGGCAGCCATGTGCGACAAACCGTTCTTTGATTTAAGAAAGAGATCATGCAACTCGCATGCTAATAAATAATAGTGTTTTCTTTTCATTTTCTTTTAATTAATAAATTACTTAAGTTGTTGCCGGAAAATGGCATTATTATGGAAAGTCAAACTAAACAAACCTCGTGGCTTCATCAGTTAAAGTCGTTGCTGGGGAAGAAGAAAAAAATGAAATGCCGTAACAAAGAAGATGTGCTCACATGAACAAGTGCTTAGTCAAGTTCCCGTATTCTTTGGAAATTATGTGTCATTGCCTAAACTCCATGGCTGAAATTTGAAAATGATATTTGATGATATTATATATATATATATATATGTGTGTGTGACATCTTCCATTCGGCCTTCCCTGGATATTTCGTGTGTCTATCTCATGTGGGCCTGGAGAAAATTGTTTGTCAATGACTTCTAGAACTTCAAATTAACTTAAAATGATAGACATGTTTGATAAATGTCCCCTAACGGAAACTTCTAAATATTCTAACTTATTGTCAATGACAGCTTCACCACAATTTCTTGATGCGGACTTCTGATTTCCTGCTCCTATAAGAAGTCCGCAGTCTGCTAATTAATTATGTCATTTGCTCATAAAGAAGAACTAGAAATTAAGGGAAGAGTCTTCATTAATTTACACATATATAGTTTAGATATGGCTAGAGAGCTTCGCCTAGCCATTCTGGCCATAGCCGTGGCTGCCCTCTTGCAGCTCACAGCAGCACAGAACACACACACAGTAGGAGATGACTTAGGATGGGTGGTTCCTCCCGGAGGTAACATCACTTATGAAATTTGGGCCGCGTCTCAAATATTCCTCGCCGGCGACATTCTTGGTAAGTGAAAGAAATCAAATTAAAGAGACGAACGTTTTGAAAATCGATTAATACCTATACTTTGAGTATGATGGTTTCACACAACACAATCCATACTCCTAGACTCTTTTAATTTATATAACTTACGGATGAACTCATCATCGAAACAAAGCTTTCCTAAAAAAGCTTAAAACAACATGATTTTCCATTAACATAATTAGATTACTATTGGTTTAATAGCACGCATGGCATCAGAACAGAGAATCATAATCTGTAACTCTAGTAAACAATCCAGGTTGTGAATATTGTCAAGTTTTTCGTATTACCTATACGAACCAATTCATCCAAAAAAAAAAAAAAAAAAAAAA